TGGGGGTGGGGGTGGGGCGGACCCGAAGCCACAGGACAGTCATTCTTCAGGAGCAGCAGGGGGATCCCCTGACTACCTTTACAGATGCACAGCGTCAGACTGAGGATAGGGTTAGGCCTACCTGCTAGGGCAGAATGACAGGTGCCAGACTAGCCAGAGCATGGCCTGAGGGGCGTGGCCTGAGAAACGTGCCCAAAGAGTGTGGACTAGTGGCCCGGCAGTCCCAGGCACCTCAGAACAGGAAGGTGGCAGTCTAAGGGGAAGCAGCTCATTGGGACGAGTTCAGGGGACCTGTGCGGCTGTGGAGAGGAATCAAATCAAGCACCCCTGTCGAAGGAAGACAAGCCAGGGGTCCTGGAGGACCTCTGAGGCCGCCTGCAGAGCCCTGCAGGCATCCTGGGGGAACTGCTGGGCTCTCTCCACCCCTGAAGTGTGACTTCCTCCTGTTCCTGGGACTGGAAGCTCCCTCAGACTCCACATTCGGCCTTTCCAGCCTCTGGGCTCCCGTGAAAGCCGGTGGGGGTGCTCTACTTTCATTTTTTGTAGCCTCCATCACCACCCATGCTCTGAAATCCCAGGGGACCCTAAGATTCTTCCAGCCCCACCCAGGGACTAGTCTGTGGGACCAGCAAGACTGCTAACTCTGTCATCATGGCTGTGCCAACAACGTGACTGTTTTACAATTCCTCTCTCCCACCTTTTACCTGGAAACTGGGGTGCAAGGTGAGGAGTTGCAGAGAATAGGGGTGGGACCTGCAACTTCCCTCCTGCTCCACAGGAAGAAGGTCCCTTGCTCATGGAGGGCTTCACCCGTGACCCTGTGCCTGATTCCAGGCGGGGAGCTCAGGACAGCTGCACACAGCCTCAAATGGGGGTGTGAATAGGGAAGCAAATGAGTCCCTGGGCAGGGAGGACAGGATGTGGCCTGTGTCAGGCAGGAGTGGCCAGGGGTCTGGTGAGGCTCCTAGCCCAGCCTTTGCAGGAAAAGGCCATGTCTGCATTGAGTGCTGAGCTGAGCAGGCCTGGGTTGTACACTAAGCAGAGGAACTGGTGGAGCCCAGGCTGCGTGGCATCTGCCCCTTTCCACTGCAGAAGAGTGGAGTACTGTGTGGAGGGAACTTGAGGGCTATTCTTGCTAAAGTGAAACTCTGCAAGCTGAAATAAAAGGATTTGCTGAACTGCTGTGACAATGAAATAAAGAGCAAAGTGGTGCAGCCGCCAACCACAAGACTAGGGGGCAGGGGAGCCCGTGTCCTTGGGCCCTGGATTGGGTGCATCTTGTGATGCAGTTCAGGGAGGAGGCTCAGGTCGGCTACATTGTGTTTATTCTGGTTATTGACACAGGAGGTGGCATAACCCAGAGGAGGAAATTTGGAATTGGTGTGCTGAGCAGGTGCCCTTGGGGCTCCAGACTGGTCAAGAAAGTTTTCCTAAGTTGGTCACCGTATCAGTTGCCTTCAGCTGGACCAGACAGGGCCCCTGGGTGGCCACTTTTTCCCCTCTGTTTCTGGCAGCTCTGGCCATTGCATCCATACTGAAGTCATGGAGGATATAGGCCACCTCCAGCTCCCAAGATACCTGTGTTTAACCCTTAACTTTGTTGGACTGGGACATATGACTTGAAGGAGATTATAGGAGAGGTTTCAATCCTGGCTGTGTGGCCTTAGGGTTGTTACTTCTCAGAGCCTCTTTGGAAAATAGAGGTAATCAAGCTTACTGGACAAAAAAAATAAGGTAACATTACAAATGTAACCCATATGTGCTAGGTGTCTTCCAGGCAGAAAGCCCAGTACCAATTTAGTGGCATCCATGCCGATAATTGCGAACTTAGCAGGCTCGGTGGAGGGGTGACTGGTATTGGGCTGACACAGGAAGAAATTCTAAAAACAAGAAACCGAGCCCCTCTAGGCTCCCATGTCTAAGAACTCTAGTTTTCCTGCTGGGCATCCAGCCTCTTACCTGCTTCCCTGCAAAGAACCAGACTTTACAGAATACTTGCTGCATACCATGTGCCTCAGGTGTGTCGGCTCACTTCATCCTGATGGGACCCCCAGCCCCCCTAACATCACCATCCCTCCCTCCATCCTCATGGTGGCTACAAACTGGCTACAAACTCCAAAGAATTTGTGAACCGAGGCCCACTTCCCAGCACCTTTCGCGTCCCCGTCCTTCCCCAGTCCACAACCCAAGCAAGGGCAGCTACTCTAGGGCCCCCTCTGCTGCATCTCCTCAACAATCCCTGCTAGGAAACCAATGTAGCACATCTTTCCTGGCAGTTTGCAGAAACACCCCAGAAGTGGCAGGATTTGAGTCAGGAGGAGGTCTGGGCTTGGCTGAGGTTTGCTGTTCGAGCCCCTGGGTGATTTGGATGCTCTGGCCTAAGGGCCAGACTCGGGTTCGCTGTCTCTGTTACCACTGCTCAAGGGAAGCATTTGAGGCTTAGAAGCAATTCAGATGTTTCCAGAGGACACATTACAGAGTAATAAAAAGACACAGGTGAAAGTCTTTTTAACATAATTTACCCAACATATCAAAATTATTTTAACAGGCAGTCTATATAAAATACCAGTGCTGTGGAGTGATTCAGTTGGCAAAGTGCTTGTCTTACAAGCATAAAGACCTGAATTTGATCCTCAGAACCCACATAAAGATGCATGGGCATCCACACACAAAATACCGTATCAATGACTTAACTTCTGGGGTGCTGGGTGCTGTGGCATGCACTTGAAATTCCAGTGATGGTGATATGGGAAGTGGAGATAGGCAAATCCCTGGAAACTTACTGGCCAGCTATCCTAGGCTACTTAGTGAAGTCCCAGACCAGTGAGAGCCCCTGTCTCAAACAGTAGAAGGCAACCGAGGTTGTTTTCTTGTCTTCCAAGAGCACACAAAATATCATTGTCTTAAAAAACTGTCGAGCTGGAGAGAGGGCTAACAGTTATGAGCATTAACTGCGCTGTTGTGAGGACTGGAATTCAGATCCCAGAATCCCCCTACCAAACTGGGCACCCCATTCATGCCGGCTCCTGAGGGAGCATAGTCAGGATTGCTGGGGCGCTAGCTTCAGCCTCACTGAGAAAAATGTGAGTCCTAGGTTCAGGGAGAAACTGTGTCTCAAAGGAATAGGTACTGAGTGCTAGAGAAGACACCCAACACGCTCTTCTGTCTCTCTCTCTCTCTCTCTCTTGCTCTCTTGCTCTTCTTTATTATCTCCTTCTTTCTTTGAAACAGTGTATAGTATATGCTGGCTGTGAACTCAAAACCCATGTGCCTCAGCCTCTTGAGTGCT